GCTGTCACTTTTTTTGTACAAAACTATTTGAAATGGTGATGGAAAGAATTGCTCCAATTAATGGTCTCTAGGATCAAAAGGTGAGGCAAGATAAAGATACATACAAATTACTAATTACTGGTGTGCAGAATGGTGTTGAAAATAGCATTTTGAAAGACAGAACCAGAGCATCATAGATTCATTTGTAGACTGACATGTTCATCATGATTTGTAATAGCTTCAAATACACATCCTTTTAACTCATAATTGATACTTTTTCCCCAGAAATTGCTATGACACTCCTGCTTAAAGTAATTAGAGAGTGGAATTAGTATTATAGAATCATGCAATCATGGAATGATTTAGGCTGCAGGAAACCTTTAAGGGCCACCTAATCCAAGCCCCCTGCAATGAGCAGGGACATCTTCAACTAGATCAGGTTGCTCAGAGCCCCATCCAACCTGATCTTGAATATTAAGGATTGATTTATTCAGATCCTCACTCTCTTACATATGCTGGTGGAAGAATGCTAACCCATTTGTGGAATTCTACATTTCTATGGGAAATAATGCCTTTTCAGCATTATGTGTTCTCAAGAGAGAAAATATGAGAGTGAGAAAGACAGAGTAGCAGTTTAATCCTATACAGTGAAGTCCTTAGTATAACTGCTTGGAAAAATAGGAGTTTAAGCCAGGCGTGTTAAGGGAGTGTGTTGTGCATTGTTCTTCCACTACTTAAATTCTTGATTGAAAATCATACTTAAAATCTTTGTTACTTCAGTCCTTGTAAATGACACAGAGATGCTATCAGACATACCTTCTATCCTTATGTAAGTGGAGCAGTTAGGCATAATCCCTGATGTGATTTACCAATAGTTGATTCAGGATTTTAGAGGTTAAAATTCGTTGAATTTCCACCTGAGCTGGGTTACAGGCAAAGAAGGAATGTTGTATGGTTGTCTATGGAATGGTAAACTTACATATCTGAAGCACACACATTTGTATAAATACATATGAATCCATTCAGTAATAGCAAGTCTTGTATACTAGTTTCTATTTATTTCATCTAGACAGTGCCATGATTTTATGTAGGAACCAATTTTTGAAATTAATATGAATCTTCGGTTGTTAGCCAGGTTCTATGGCACTGTGGAATCTACATCTATTAATTTGGTGATGTTTATGGATGGGCCTTTTTGTTTTAGAAAAAAAAAAACCTTCAAAAGTCACTTTAAATGAATGCAATTGCCTAAAAGGGCACCTTAATGGAGGACAACATTGCTTAAAGACTCCATAACTAAATAAAGGCTGTAGCACCTGTGCTATTTGTTTAAGAAGGAATAATGATGCTAATTTCTTCTTGTGGAACTTCTTTAAAATTACTCTTTAGCAATTTATTGTGTAGAAAGCTAAAGAGCAATTTTATGAATTTAGAATATTCTCTTAGAGAACTGCTGCTCCTAACTTTGTTTTTCTCTACATAAAAGTGTTTGTATTATCATTAGTTTCATCTCCCTGTATCAGGGAAAGAAAATGCATTCTCTAACTTCATAGCTGTTTGAGCTGACTATTTTCAGCTCTGTTCTGTGGTTTTCAGCTACAACTACAGGGAATATTGCTTTTGCTTGCTGAGAGGGAAAGTAATAATTAATTTAATGTTATTCTTACTTTCCTCATAGTCTAAATTAGCTTAAAAACCGTTAGGGGATGACTCTGACTAATGGCAACTAACAAGGTCCCTGTTGATGCCAGACTGCCTATCAACCTCCTTCTGGCTTGGCACTGACAGCTGTTTCCAGCTGTGTCCAGAGGTTGGACGGGGGATTGATACCCTGAATCATGCATATACATTGCACAATTTTCCCAGCAGGAGTGTGGAATAATGCTACATTATTTTTTTTCCCTTTTCCTTTTCTTTATAAATATGGTTCCACTTAGTATTTAAAATGTAAATCTGCATTTTAGGACATTTAAAGTAACGCTTAGGACCCATTTCTTTGCATTCTTCAAAGCTTAGTATTTTTTTTCAGTTTCACTTAATGGGATATGAAGGCTGGAAATCTTGATATGCTTAACATCAGAGAGAACTAATTGTTCATGGTGTGTCCTTGTTGCTGGCTTATGGTTGGTTCCTACCTGCTTTGAACTCTGGTAATATGATAACAAATGAATTTCTCCGTAGATGAAAGAAAATTCACAATGTTACTATTAAAAACTTGTTTAAATAACTTGTGTTCAGGTGACACATAAATTTCCGACCAGGACAAATAGTTCTAGACTGGTCTATATATAAACAAAAAGCTATAAATACGAAAAATGGGAACAGCAGAAGAGAAGGAAAACTGGTAGGAATTTCTTACTTCAGATGCTGATTTTTTGTAACAGGAATGAAAAGCTAAAGGAAGATTCAAAACATTTGCAAACTACAGAGGAAAAGAAAGTTTTAACAAGAGTGTGAACTTTTGTTTACAAATTGGACCAGATTCTAACATATCTTAGGAAGAATAGTTTAATAGCTTTTTTGTCCCTTCTGGTGAGGCATCTGCTGTTGAAAAGACAGGCTATTGGGTTAGACAGAACTCAAAACTACCCTGAGGACAAGTCTTACGCCGTCAAGAATGTTCTTGAAATAAACAGATTAGGATGGGGGGAAAAAAAAAGGAAGAAAAAAACCCAAATGCCACACTATGCAAGGAAATTAGATGTGGGAAAAATTATCTAGCTTTACATTGAAATCTTTTTATGTCAGAGAGACTGGTAACTTTAGCTTCATATACAAGTTTCAAAATATCAAAGGAATCTGAACTCGATGGACAATTTGATACTTGAAGTCACTCTCTAAAAAAACTACTAATAAATGCAGATAGAGACCAACAAGAAAACAGCACAATCTTCTGACTTTAGTAGGTTGCTTTCCAGAATTTGTTCTTTGTTGCTGTCTCACAGGTCTCCATGGTATCTGAGTCCTGGGGTTTGGCCTGAGGCTCTTTTTGGGGAAGAAGTCTAACCCAGTCTCTTGTTATAGTAGTCTTTAAGCAAAGGTGAAACTAAAATTTGTATGTCTATATTTTAACAAAATTTATCTGTCATGAGGAAGAACAATGTGCCTGGGTGGCTGTGCCTGTGTTCTGATCACTGAAGATCTTTTTAAAAAGAAAAGTACTAAGAAGGGAAGGACTGGTTTGTGATTAGAATAAGAGTCAGACAGTGGACCTAGAATCATTCCATGGATCTGTAATGCATTTCCTCCATAGGCTTAGCAAAACAGTTATGGTTTGTGAACTGTCTGTATGTCAAAAGCCATACACAAACACAGACAAAAGGCTCGGTGGAGGAAATGATTTCTTTTCTATCTATTCTTTTATGCATCTTTCCTGAATAGCCTAATTTAGGCTCTGTCCATTTCAGGTATCTACCCAGTACCAGCAAAGCAGCCCCTGGGATTGCTCGGCTCTTCTGTTTCATACCTGGAAACATTTTAAACCCCAAATATAAAAAAAAAAAAAAAAAAAAAAATGGGAGCAGGTCGGGGAAGAAAAAGAAGGGAATAAGGTAAAGAACTAATTTGCTTGTCAGCCTGACCTTAAAAAGAAATAACATGAACAGGAGGATGAAAGGAGTAAAAGGGAATCTCAACTTTATTATCCTGTAAAGAACCTGTGAAAATGCCAGTCAGTTTTCACAGTATTTCGTGGAGCATTCAGCTGCCTGGGGTAAGGCTTCTTTCGGGAGAACTTTGCTGGATTTTTCTGTACCATTTTGCTGGATGGAAAATTCTGTCTCTTGGCAATGTAGTTTACTGTCTTTGCTTGTTTATCCAACTAAAACTGAAACAAGATATAAACCAGTCTTGGTTAATAAGAGAAAGTAATTATATGAGTCAAGTGTGGGTTTGTGGACAACTTGATTTCGTACAGGACACAGCAAGAAGATTTGAAGCCAGAAACTCCTCCCACCAGCCAGCTGGTGCAGATACACCTACAAAAGTGTGCTGGTACTGGTATGATTCTGTAACAATCTTGACCTATGGTAGTCCCGGGCCACTGCCTCAGCAACCAGCATGGACTCATTTGCTATTGGTTGTCAGTAGCTCTGTTACTGTCAGTTGAGCTCTGCTAAAGCAAAAACTTTATTCTTGAAGTAAGGTCAGATCATTTTGTAAACACTGCAAGACAAAATATTGAAGAAACACATATAGAAGTGAGTGATAAATAATATACATATAAAATAATGATTAAAATGTTTATATATGTAGATAAAAACATATGTGTATTTTATATACGCATATAGGCACTTAATTAAACTTTATATATGAACACATCTACCTATTTATTTGTCTGAGTAAAAGTAAACATATGAACAGGAAACAACTTTTAATCACTGGAGGTTTTTTTAACCAGGATTCAGAAATTAAAAATCTTATATAAGATATGAATTCAGCCATCAAGATAAAAAAATGACCTCACTCTCAACATCAACATCAGTCCATTAGAGGTTTTTCTTTTTGTATTAATGATACAACATCACCAAAGATGTAAATTGATGGTGCTGACAACTGACTACATTTAATATAAAGTTTATGACATTGTAGCTCTGATAGAACTTGGTAATTCTGAAATAAAACTCTCCTGAACTCTCCATGAACAAAGACAGAGCTAAGGAGATCAAATTGGCTTTAGATCTTATGCAAGGATATTTTCTGAAATATTCTGAAGTAAGAAAAATGCATATTTATTTTAGTACAGCACACAGTACTGTTGCCTACACGGTTCCAATTTGAGGATGATTTTACAGGGGTCATGACACAGTTTCTGTTGTTTATATTCTGCAGAAATAAAGCAAAAGAAGGTTTTTTTATAATAATATAAAGCAAACAAATAATAATAAATTGATGAATTTTTCACCTGAATTTCACATGAGAATTAAGAAATTGGAGCATCTTTGTATTTTATTTTTTACGCACACATAGACATTGAACACTTCTGGTTCTTTCTCCTTATTACTAGTAAATTACTTTTTTTATCAGTTTACTGCTTCCTTTCTTCCAACTATTCCAGGGAAATCCTTTGTTTTTCTTTCTGAAGAGAATCTAAACAAGGTCATTCACTGATGCCTATTCCCACACTTTTCTGCTACTAGTCAGCAATACAGAGTCTGACTGTATAAAGCAGACACATCTTGAGTGTGACAGTTCTCCAGTGTCGGGGGAGCATGTGCCTAGAAGTTGTCTGTGGATAGTTGGGAGACTGAGAAGAAAAGTAGAGGGCTGGTGGCAAGGAGAATTGTAGCTATAATTTTTTCTCTAAAACAGCCAAATCTCTCTTCTCTACTGGGTCTCCTGGTGGAGAAGTCTCTCTCTTCTCTCAAATATACCACCACCAGGTTAGCAAGAATCACAGTGAATGAAGAAGGAAAAAGTTCATTAGGGATGGCACCAAATACCGACACTTAGAAATGGGTTTGAGACCAGGCAAAAGTTCAGTCTACATGTGTAGGAAAAAGCAGGAGAGAGCAAACAATGTATGCAACATCCATCTCTGGGTTGAACAAACATGTTGTTCTTTTAGGAGGCCATCTTTCATAGGCATTTTCCTGCCATGTGCCTCTATTCTGACTCAAAGCAAACCTTAGCTATGTTAGTTGGCATTTATGTCTGCTTTTCAGCCCAGGCACTGCCAAGTGCCTCAGGTCTTCCAGCCAACGGCATATTATTCCAGGCTGGTTACAGTGTTCCTCTCCTGTGGTTTTTGTTTAAACCACCTCCACCACATACCACAGAGAAGACAGCTGTGCAGGGAGCATGTGACTGGTTGAGAAGTGTAACTGGTAGTCTACTAGGCTCAGTACAGGGAGAGAGAAGCTCTTAAAAACAGCGCTGATATTTTGATTATAAGCCAAGGATTTGCAAAGAGGTGTAGAGAAATTTACACCTATTCACCTGTAATTGAATAATATAAATAGTAATTAGCTGGTGTTGATTTTCCAAAGGTAAGTGTTTGTGTACCTGTGACACTGCATGCGGCTGGTGCAGCTCCAGAGAGCCAGGCTATGGCTGCAGGCAGCCCAAAACGCAGCTCATCTGGGGGTGCTCACTGGAGACTGGCCCTGAGAAAGCTTGACTCATTTTCTTAATTATAAACACTGAGCCAAACAGGTGAAATTTCAGAGTCTTCAGTGAGTTTTGGAATGTTACTAGACTTATTTATTCAGAAAGCTATTTTTGAGGGTCCCTCATGACAAGGTGGGTGCTAGCCTGGTGTCTCAGGTTCATCACAGTTACCCGTCTCCAGCAACAACACTGGTAGGTGCTGAAGAGTTTTCTCTCACAAGAACTGGCTGCAGCAGCGTGCTGCAGTGATGTGTGGCACAGCTGGTACAACTTAGTTCTCAGGCATGAAGACAGGATGACCACTGTCAGACATGCTCACTGTCTGATACTGAGTTTCTCAGTTTTGGATTACTGTGAGATCCCTATTTGCTTGTGGATGCTTAGGGAGAAACTCTGTGAAGACTTTTGTCACCGGCTCTTAGCCAGAAGGGTGTAGGTCTTGTATTCAAATGAGAAAGGAATTTGAGAGATTATCAGAATTTCAGCATTATTAGAAAGATAGTAATTTATGAAGAATTCAGCTAGCCAGTGTTCTACACCTGGTGTTGTTTCCAGAAGGAATAAATTACTACTGTTGATCTATAAAGCCTCCAGCTCTCTAAAAGCAGGCTTCATGCTGGTGCCATAAATCTGCAGTCTGCAGCTGGGACTGATAGAACCACGGTTAGCTAATTCAGAAGGAAAGAGCAGACCATGTCAGGCTGTCTGCTGTCATAACTTTAAGATATTTCCAGGCTCTATTTTTTTCCAGGATTCTATTGACATGATTGAAGAATTTTGTCATGGGGAGGAAGTCAGGAAAAAAGGGAGTGGCAGGTGCTAGGATATGATGGATTCTGGGCTCTGCTTGCGTGAGTCCTTTCCCTGGACAGAATATAGCTATCCCCAGACTTATTTTACCCTTCAGGTTGTGCAATTAAAAAATATGAGTTATGCTGGATTAAACTGGGTTGGCAATGAAAAAAGAAAACAACTTTGCTAAAGTTGAACACACAAGCACTACACAACTTCCTGTCTCTGTATTGTTCAGCAACTGTTTATTTGAAATCATTTTGTGCCCAAGGTTAAGTTTCCATTTAATGACAACAAAATGTAGAAAATGTGATTCTGGCCACAGGAGATTTGATGACAAACTTAGATTTAGATTTTTTTTTCCCCCACTTCAGAGTAGCTAAACAGCACTGTTTACTTTTCTTTCAATTCTTTATAGAATGATGGATCACATCAAATCTATTTAAGTAGGAGCACAGCAAAAAAGTGATGCAATAATTATTAAAATTGCATGGACTGCTATACTATGACTGCTACTGGGTATATCTTAGCCAAGAGCATATAAAAGTATGAATATCATGGTTCATAAATATTTATCTACAGGAAAAATCCTGACAATAGAAGTCTTTTTAATCTAGCAGACATGCATATCATATTCTTGAAAAAAATTAAAATTCTGTGGGTTTTTTTAATAGAAGGGGTAATTAATCATCAGAATAATTTGTCCAGGGGTTATTTTGGCTTCTCTGTCACTTGGAGTTTTTAAGTTGAGATTAAAATATCAGTTTGAAAGATTTGCTCTAATCCAGAGGTTATTGGACTTGATACCACAATTAATAGACAAACATCTCTAACTGTAATGAACAGGGAGTGTAACTAGAAGACCCTGTCTCTTTCTTTTGACCTGACCACATCTGACTTTATGGTATAAGTCAGGGTGAGCTTCTGAGGGCTCAAGAGATGCTTGAAAAGAGTAAAAGTTATGGACTAGAGTTCCTCTGAAATAAAGGCTGGACAGCATGCTGGACAACATACTCTAGCTGACACTCCTCTGAGTGGTGGGATTGGACTAGGCAATTTCTGAAGGTCCCTTCCAACCTCAGTTGTTAAGTGATTCTGTAGTACATCACATTTTTTTCCAAGCTCAAGTAATCTTTAACCTCTGGGACCAGCAGACTTCTGTCCATCCTCAAAACAAGCAGAACTGGGGATCCTGTAAAGGTCTTTCTTTAAGAAAGACCCTCAGATCCTTCACAGATGCTCACTGCTTCCAAACTGCAGTTTGACAGCCATGGGAATAGCCTATGATGTCATTAGATCAGCAGGTAAAATACACCTTCAGTCTATCTAAGCATTGCCATCACTTATTCATTATTTAACCTTTATTAGTTACTAAAGAATGTAATATCACTCCCTCAACAAGTGGACTGACACAGGAATAAACCTACTAATAAAATGGTGGAACAGCTGAGACGATGAGGAAGAAGTAATAGAGGTCCCATCCGGCCCTTACAGAGGCATAATAAAGGTCTTATCTGTTCAACTAATACTGCTTCTGTCAGTCTGTGGGTTTGGGTACTGTCATCTTGGCACAGAGAGCTGTGTGGGTCATGGGAGCAATGGGAGTTGGGGACAAACTGTCACCAAACATTCAGGCTGCTGTGGGGTGCTGTGCTTCCCCTTGAGAGACGAGACTGGTGCAGTGCCTGGTGAGTGTTACAGCTGCAGACAGCAACTTATGGCCTAGCTGGTTAATGTTTAAATGCATTGGAAGTCCCCCTGAGGGCAAAATGTGGAAGACCTTACCCCTAAACTGCTCTCCATAGCAGGTGGCAGCCTTGCTGGGGCTGGGCTCTCAGCAAGCAGCTAGAAGCAGGTTATTTTCCCATGGCAGCTGTCTTGAGAGTCACAGTGGAAGTTAATTTAATTCTGCAGTGGTTTACTGAAGGCAGTCTCCAATGATATATTGGTTTCAAAGCATTCTCTTTTCAGCTTCATCTCTCAGGTAACAATTCTTCTAGATCTTCTAGGCTCCTTAAATAAAATATATCTTCTCTGTAATTCTTCCCTGTCCCCTAAAAAGAGGTAGGAACAGACATATGTCTGATGCAATACTTTTTATGCCACAAGTATCGTTACCAAGCAACCATCCCATATGGCTTTGGCAGAACACAAACTTCTTCAGTCACTAAGCCTTCAAACACCTAAACCAAGATATGCCAGCAGAAAATATCAGAGATCTAGGTGAAGCAATGCTTTTTCCAAATCAACAAATGATTTTTCCAAATCAACAAATGATTTTTCCAAATCAACAAATTATTAAGGATGATTACCATACATTAGCATCATGGCTATCATGCACATTTTCCAAAATGTTGCCACAAATGAATGTTTACTTGCATGTGAAGATTAGTTATATCTGTTGGTGAGAAGAGGCAAACTCTCATGTTGTCAGTATTCTAAATATTTTTATTATGGCAGGTCCAGTGCATTCTGAATGAAATTGGAAAAATATTCACAGCTTCCACCCCCCGAGTAGAATAAAGGGAGAGATGAGAGACTTGCCAGTTCCAACCAAATGCTTTTCCATCAAGTACTACAGGTAGCAATTTGTGTCATCACAAAGCTAGTGTAAAATTATCTTACCTTACAGTGACATTGCTGACTGGTCTTCCATTTCACAGTCGTTAGAATAAAATTTGTGTACTTTGCTCAGCTTCCAGATTTGTGGCTCTGAGGCTTTTCTGAGTCTCTGCAAGCGCATAGTCAAAGGTGAAGGATCAACAAAGGTGAAGATTTAACTCATTGCAACTCAGTTGGCTACAGTCAGTTGACATTTTCTGGGGACTAGTTGTAGAGTATATTTTTATATGCCCAGTGGATTAAAGCAGCAGAAAACAAAGTAGCTGGAGACACATACCACAATCTGTGGGTATAGATACAGTGACATTCCAACTGGAGGACATAAGCATCAGCCAAAATAGACCAGTCAGGTAAGAAGTTTCAAAATGTATTACCACTACCTGAAAAGAGGCAATTTCCAGTTAATCAGCCTTCCGTTTGCTTCTCTGCTCATTGAAGGAGTTGACATTCTACAGGAGCACAGCTTGGTTCCTCACACGGAAAGGTCTTATAGTCCATTAAATCCTCTTAGTCCATAAATAGAAACAGGAGTTAGAGACCTTTGGAAATGAGAACATAACTATATACAGTTACATTCATCTGTCTGAAAAAAAAAGAAGTGGTGGAAACCAGCAGGAAGATGATGAAATTACCGGTACTTAAGGTCATGTACTTGCTCTATACTGGTATCTGGTTTAAAAATGTAAGTGTTATGATGTACATATATAAATTATAGCACACAGAATCTTGCACATACAGAGTAAGTTTGTCCTTTCAAATGCAAATAAATATCCAAGAGCTAAGAACAACAGGGCCCAAGGTCCCTTCAACAGCTGTGTGATTGAATAGGTTTGACAGTTCCAGTCCCTCACATGCTATAGATGCAGCATTCAAAAGTGTTTGAAGACTTCACAGCACTTAGAAAAACCCAGAAAATTGATCCTGACCAAATGACTGACTCAAAGGCACGAATTTCTCTTTCTCTTTGATTTCTTGAAGCTGATTCCGGGTAAAAAGTTCCTAAGACATAATCCTAGCTTCCAAAATGTACCACTTCTCAAAAAGGAAGACTTTTGAGATATAGCTATAAATGTTGCCCTTTGTGTTCTGTGAGGAAAAGGAATCATGAGGTATCTCATCCTATTTTGATCTTTCATGTAAAATTTCTTTGAATGGCCTTTCAGTGAATGCAAAAGGGCAGGGAGAAAACTCTGTATGTTATTTCCTTCAGCATTTTATGGTTCTAGGGCTGTCTCCTGTCATCATGTATCATGTCTTAATGTGTGATTTGCCTTGGCTTGTGGACTCTGGCTTTTTGAGAATTCAGTGTACCACTTTTTATTTTTTGTTAATAAAAAAATCTACAATTAAATCAATGGAATTATACAAATAACCATGACTCAAATAAGTGTTCTGCTAATGTCTGCTAGTCTGGACACTGTGCTATTGGTTCTCATTATTGTAAAAAGGACCATAAAACTCAGGTAATAAAATGTTCTACTGCACAGATGAAATGTTGCCAAAGTTTGGTCTTCATTTTCTTTTTTTTTTGGTGTGCCTGTCAATCCTAGAACTAGACAGCATGCTTATCATTGCTGTTAATTTTTTCTTTTTAGGAATCATTTGTTTTCAGTTTTTACTAATTTCAATTGATTTGATATTAAAATATTGTAGTATGCAATTATTAGTTGCATTTTGTCGGTGTATGCAGAAATAAAATTTTGAGGCCCAATAAAAATCCTTCTGAAAATACAGGGAACTGACTAGAATATCCTGCCCCCATGTCCTGAACAAAATGCTCAGTGGTAATTTTTAATTTTTGAGTTTACTTGGTACCTCCACAACTTTATCTTTGCACGTCGCAGGGTGAATATGCATGGAGATTAGATTTACTCTGCAATATCTGAATCACACTCTTTCCTACCAATTAACATCAAAGACAAAAAAAAAAGGCTTAGTCTGCCCAGTAGGTGAAGAAATTTCACAGGTAGCTAAAAGTAATTTTTCCTGAGTTTAGTATGCAGCACGTGTTAATATATTTGTAGTATTCAGAGATCCTGATCAAATCATGTCTTTTTTATACTGTTGCATAAACACATCCATATTGCTAATTAGAAGTTCTTTTGAAATTGAAATCATATTTCCATATTTTGGGAAAGGGATTTCAAATTTTTTTGCACTCAGAATTATGTGCAGCTACATTGTATATATGTGGATAAAGGCTTTTTTCAGAGTAACAAGGATTCACTTATTTTTGTTGAGTTCCTCTCCAGTTCAGGTTGGGTAAGTCCAACAACAGTGTGCCAGCTTTCCCACTTACGAGGACACCACTTAGATCAGTCTCCAAGTTTTCCTGTGGAACTGTGTATTTAATATTCTTTCTCCTGGGAAGTAAATGGAAAAAACCAAAATTAGTCACCATGGAATGTCAGTGTCCACTCAGCACTGTTTTACCATACAGCTCTTTTTGTGGATAATGGAAAGATAACTTGATATATCGTTTCTGTTTCATTTTAGGATACACGCCTTACAGCTTTTCAAGTGTAATAAAGATATGACATGTGCAATAACCTTTTCTTTCATTGTGAATAAAAATGTGTTATAATAAAATAGGCTGGCAGAATTCCATCAACCAGAACACTTCGACAAGTAGCTTGCTTCAATTAAAAAGTAAGTGGAGGAGGAAAAGAATGTCAGTTTGTCTTTGAAACCAGGAACATGCAGGGTCTCACGACACAATTTTTTTTTAATGTCTTGAGGCAACAATACAACAGCTAATAAATTCATTATTTATCTAATTTGCATTTTAGATGGTTTCTTAATTAATGTTTGAGCTTTCTTTGACATGTATGACTCTATAAATTGCATTAAAATGTAATTAATTCTGCCGGTATCAATCAACTGTCAAGAAAAGTGAAGTGAACTTCCTAGAGATTTCCATCTCAGAGTCCATGTTCTGCAGAACTTTCATCTTCCAGCAAAGCTCAGATTTAGATAAAATGCATGCCTATCACTTTCAACAATGATATAAATATATTTTTCAAGCATACATTTCCATAGTGTCTTGTTTCACTGGAGGAGATTTTATCAACATCTGATGGATGTATTACCTGCTTTTGCCCAATTCTGGTTAAATTATAATGACAATATTACTAATGTTAATAATACCAATGTTTTAGGGGCTTCCTAATCTGTATATATGGTGGGGAAAACAAACTACTCTGTCTTCCCATGAGTTAACCTGGAGATGGGAACTCTTGTAATGAAGATTATCCTCTCGAGAAGAACCAACCTGTAGGAATGCTCTGAGGTTTGACTTTCTACATTATATCAAATCACTAATCATGGCAATTCTGTAGCTTGGGTCTTCTCCTTATTAATTCAACTGCTTCTTTCCCCCTTTGTCTCTTCCATGACTCCTCTTGGTCTCTTTCTTTTCTTTATATTACTACTCTTAGTCTTTAGGTTCTTGCACAAGAAAATCACTAAAGAGTAATACTAAACAGAGACAGAAGTGCCCTGCTTTTCTGCAAGTAATCTTTATCTTTGTAAAAGATTTCATTTTCCATCCTTACAAGCATAATTCATGACCATTTTTAGGCTTGAAACTGGCAATCGTAAGTGCTTGTTAGCTTCTCAAAATATACCTTTAAAAATAATTATCACTGGTGAGAAAGGAAAATTACTTTGATACATAAGTATTAAAATGTGAAAAAAACCACAAGCTGTGCTGTATTCTCTAAAAAAAAACCATATAACTTCATGGTTGCTTAAAATACCCATAATATTACATGAAGTTTCCTTGACACAAAGTTGCAAGAAACATCCAAATGGATTTCGCAACAGGTTCATCATCCTTTGTATAATTATCAAACAAAACATTTCATATGAAAACATGACTGTATAATTAAAGGAGCACCTTGAGCACTCTGATTCACCAGATGTCTCAAAGAAGCAGTCCGGTTCAATGGGTATGACATTAAATTGGTTATTATGAGAACCAGATAATTTTCTCATCTTTGATTGCAGTGAATTTTAGATACTTCATGTTTGAGGTTATTAATTTGTAAAATTGGCTTGGTAATGCCTGTCTCCACTTACATGTCTATGACAGAGCACTTTTAACCATGATACCTTCAAATATGCAGGAGGAAAAAGAAAGACTTTTAAGAAGGAGGACAATACTGAAACAGATTGATCTTTTTAGTCTTCTGGCTCAACAACTCTGCAATACTTAACACAGAATTATTCTTCCAACTGTAAGTGCTCCTAACTGTCATGGCCTCAGTTTTTTCAGCACTTTCTACTCCTTAAGATAAGGTGAATGTGGCAATTCTCCTGTGTCTGCCCCATATTCTCCTTTATAGGGACATGACTAGACTCTAACAGTACCAGCAAGAATGGCCAGTCATACTCAACATACTAAAAAGTACAATGGCAAAGTGGTTTCAGGAAGGATATAAACAAGCAAAACAAATTAAAGATGAGAAAGTGGGGAGTACTACCAGGAATATTCAGCAAGACAGTGCAGGCATTGATGGTTTAAAGTACATGGAGGTCATGATGCCTTGATGTCTTATTACCTGGTTTGAAGGATGGTTTGATTGATGAAACTATAATTTTTTCTGGCCTGTTAAAGAATTAAAAGTTGTTTTGCTAGAGTTCATTTATATACCATACTATAAATCAGAGGGCCATCAGTTACAATGAGCTACTCAAACAAATGGTAGTTGATTGTCAGCTATACTACTAATCACATATTTACTTCTGTAGAAGTATGTATCTATAGGTCTATGTACCACACTTTAAGCCATTAAAAATGCTTAGATCAATCTTCTGCTTGCTATCCTGTTTAGGAATGAATTGCATCATTTGTTTTTGTTCTGAACCAGTGGACACAACTTGCCTATTGGGACTTCAAAGTGGGAGAAAACTGTCCTAAACACACAGAAAACTGTACACATTGACTAGGCAAGAAATTTTCCCCTAAAGTAATCTCAAGTTCACCAGGGCATGAAGAGAAGTCACTTGGTTAACAAAAGTCTGTGCATTATTCCTTGAGATTCAAAATAACTTTATTTGAAAATCACAGTCAAAAATAAAACGTGTTCTACAGTCCCTCCTATGAAATGTATCATTGCGTTTTTAGAAACAAAATTCAATTCCTTTAGAGGTAGAAACAGCACAAAATCTTGTGTAGCCTTGGTGCAAGTATTGTCTTTGACCTAAGGAGAAGGGATTCAAGGACAGCAGAAGGGTTTTTCCTAGCAATCCTGGTGAAGATCTAAGGTGAAGGGAGCAACTCTTAAGGATATAGCAGCAGATACCCACGCGACTACCGCGGTCATGATGTATCTGCAAAGGTGACCGATCAATACCAATTACACGACATGCACCTCACACCCAAAGAATGAAAAACATCAGCTCATTTTCAGCAGGTCATCAAACATTCAAGAGCAAATATTAAACCTCACTCGTCTCTGAGGCAGAACAGACACAGAAAAGCTGCTGGCAGAGGGTGCCTTTGCCGCCTTGTGAAGAGAAACACGGCAGCACTTCTGGGTGCGGGGACCCAGGGGCACCACTGCCACCCTGAGCACGGTGGCACAGCCACGAGCAGCCACGATGGAGCAGAGCCTGCTCACTGCTACCGAGCCCTTCTTTTGAGCACCACGGGTAGGGGACTGATACACTTATGTTATGCTTCACAGCTCCCCAAAAATAAATCCTCCCTGGGGTTCCGGGAAGGAAAAGGAGGCAGCTAAAGTAAACAGAATGATCACATGATAATGAAACAGGCAGCGCCAGAGGTACCTTGGAAAGATATGAAATGCTTTGATTTTTTTTCCCCAAAGGTGAAAGAAACGAAAGTTCAATATAACCAATAATTAATTTAGTGTAAATTATTTTCCAATTGTTTTAGTTTCACTCAGCTCAACATGTTAGTTATTTTCCTCCCTTTCTTGTTGGATGTTTCAGCTATTTTCAGGAGATAAAAGATGTTTCCCTCCAAAGAAATAGAAGAAGCCTTTTTACTATTATTATTTGGAGCTGCAGATAAGAGAAGTCTGTGAAAATAATTCCGGGGACAGACTACCTTGAAATTTGTTTGACAGAATTCATGAAACAACTTTATCAAAGTCTTAATAAATCACAGTCTCTGTCCACTCCTAGACTGAGAAAAAACAAATATAGCAATTAATATTTTAAGAAGTTGCCTGTTTCTTCCTTACAATTTTAGGAGTTCTAGGGAACCATAACGTGAGACACAGGATTTTATCCTAGTTTATAATCTGGATTTTTGCAGTGCTTCATTTCAGTTAGAGATGGTGGAATTTGTTGCCTAGTACTCTGTACAAATACAAATTTGTTCTGTCAATCCTTCTTTAAGGATTGTTGCTATTTTTTTTGCTGTGTCTGGTAAAACTTCAAAAAGATAAAACTTATCACAAGAAAGACATTTTTAAAAGAAAAAAGTCTGAAGTTAAATAGGCATAATTTAAAAAAGTGACCAATTTAATGAAAATCAGGATGCTTTTCAGTTTATATTTAGACTGTAACAATACTTGTGCACATATTTTATGGAAGATATGGACACATAAAGAATGAATGGCTTTATAGTTTAAAATGTACCATTTTCAATGATTTAAAGACTTCCCCCATGAAGTAAAGCAGAAAGATGTAATTAACCACTAAGAAAAAAACTGAACCTATGAGTTTTGCTTATCTCTTAAACAAATAAACTTCTACTAATATTTCATGCAAATAAAACGAAACCTATCAGAATTCAACCAGGAAATACTTCTGTCTGATATTTTCATAGCCTTCAAAATATTCTGTTAGTTGTTTTTCTGAAAACTTTTCTGATGTTCAAGCTCACTATTTGAAGGTATGATACAGCTGGGGAAAAGCTGTTAGACATTGCCTATGAGAAGGAATTGTTACTTTGCTAAGTCAAAGTGCCAGCCATGTCATTTGACTTCACAAAGTAAATGTACCAAGGCTTGGGAAGAAACTGGCCAGGTGTGGGAATAAGGTCCCAGGTGAAAAGGACAGTGACTGAGGCCTGAACAACACACGGATTCCAGTCAAGTGGTCTGAGATGTCTTCAGGAGTCCAGTTACGTGAAGGTGGAGTGCACTACAGTGGCAAGGGATGGAGCACCTGGAGAGGTGTCTGTGAGGGTCCAGTGGGGAGTGAGGGGGAAGGATTTGCAAGGCTAAGCAGGATTGTGTGTGATAGAAAATGAAGGTATGGCATTATGCTGTTTGTAGGTTAATGTGAGGGAATAGGGAAGTGTAGCCTGAAGAAACAGCGTCTAGAAGCAGAGAAAACAAGGACTATGCAGACCCACTAAAGTTCAGATATTGGCTGAAGCAGTGAC